TTAAAGCTGAATTTGAAATATTTGAGTTGCACATGAACATAGAATTTCAACTGCCTTGCCTGTCTGCTCGGCGAAATTGCATTTTGTTACACATACTTTTGATCTATCTGAATACGCTATACAGATATACGTACGTGCTCACGTGTAAAGAGCAAATATTCTCGTGAAATCAAAGCTTTCTATTCAGCCTATTCTCGGTTTAGCGCTTTGCTAGCACTGTCTGGATTTCAAATTTAATGTGTCCGTGTGCATGATTTAAGCGTGTGTAATCACTGAATTTGAAATTTTTGCTTGCACGTGGGCGGGAGATATCCACTTAAAGTTTCAGCTTCTTACTCTGTTTGAATCGCGAAGTTGAGTTCCGGCCAAAAAATTTGAATGTTTTCTTTCAGGCATCCGCACATGGAACCCAAGCGTAGGTGAATGATGATTTTTGGTTATTAGGATCGCATTTGGGCTCGAAACATCATTAAATTTCAGCCTCCTGGCTACTCCGACTGCCGAGTTGAATGTGTGTGACAAAAATCCTAATTGTGTTTCAGGTTCAACGTATGTATTCGCCGTCTGGCATGGCGATGTGGATCCTGTTTTCCCATACATATCATCATCTGGAGATCATCGACCGGAATCATGCTTTTTCGGCATGATGCTCAATCTGTGCTCCTTTATGACAATGCTCATCGTGCATTTGAGGTCATTTCACGTTCAGTATTTTGATCCAAAAATCATCAACGACTGTACATCGTTGCTTCGGATTATACCGAAACTGCTACTAAAAACGAGGCCATGCTTAATTGCTTGTGCGGTTTTGGAAGTACGAAAGTTAGAGGGGTTAAGTTTTTAAGGAAAAAGTCCTTGGCCACAAAAAAAGTCATCTGAAAGCATCGTTTTGACCAGCGTCTTGACCTTAGGAACAAATTTCTGCGAAATCACAGGTTGGCTGCTGGAAATCTGATCTCGTAGGTGACACCTGTAATTAGCATTTGCATCGAAATTTTTCTGCTTCAAATTTCGCGTGCCTGTACATCAAATCTCGAAGAACGCGAAAGATCTGTTTACTTCCACTTGCGCTTAAGTAAACAGCAAGTAGCATCGTAAAATTACAGCTTTCGCCAATTTTCTATATACTCTAATCCTTGTGTTGGCACGGTGCCAAAAAATTTGAATTTTGACTTGTGCGTGCTGGAAACCTAGAAGTGCGTGAAGGTTGAATTTAAGTTCTTTGAGTTACACTCGGGCATGGAGCATTTTCGTAAAGCCGACCTTCTAGCTTGCCTGCTTTCTGAAATCGCTTTCTCACCAAAAAATCTTTCATATGTTCATATGTGGAAACTCGGAGGATATAAGCATTCATTCTACTGCTAGTAGCCCGTACTTGTTTGTTCAGCTTTACAGGATTTGTAGGTCTCGATATTGAAGAAACCTGGACAGACGCTACGCGCGCACACGCGAACACACAAATATACGCACACATGAGTGCGCATACACACACATCCCTTCAACAAAATACGTTTTTATGCTCTTGGTCTCGTGCAACAGCTACGCAAAATGCATATTGTCACGGGATTGTCTGTGTGTGTATGTATGTGTGTGTGTGCGTGTGTGTGTGTGTGTACGTGTCCGATGCATTTTGTCCGCAACTTTCAACTCGGGAGCCACAAAAGCTAGGAGACCGGAAATTTAGGGTAATGTTTCTCGCCTACGTGTGACCCCGCAAATTTAATTTTGGCGTTTCCCTGCCCCAGGGCACTGCGTACGACTCCATGAAACTTTTCGCGGGAAAATTATTAACTCGGGAACTACGAAAGCTTGAAAACTGAACTTTTAATGTGGTGATCCCTGCTAACGTGTAACCCCGCAATTTTAATTTCAGCCTTCCCGCGCGCCCGGGTGTCACGTACGGCCCCATTAAAATTTTGGTGAGAAATTATCTCCTGAACCACAAAGGCTGGCAAGCTGAAATTTTAAGGTAGTATCTCCTGCCCACGTACGACCCCGCAGATTCGAACTCATCTTTCAGGTACACCTGGATCTGAATGTCCCCGTAAAATTGTTGGTGGTAAAAATTATTATCCTGGAAGGCAGAAGAGCTAGGAGGCTGAAGATTTCAGGAGGATGTTTTCTGCATATGTAGAGGCCTAACAAATCCAATTTTAGTTCCTAATTATGCCGAAATTTCACGTACTATGTAAATTTTGGCATGAAAATCACCCAACAGCCAGGAAATTAGGTGTTTAAAATTTTGAAAGGATGTGCACCATCTAAGTTTTCAAATTCAGTTTTCACTTACCGACATATGAAATTTCTCACGGAAAATTTCGCAACTTAGGAACCAGACAACATTACAACTATTTTTGCACAGTCCAAAATGCAAAGCAGTGGAAATCTTTAGCAGGCAAACTTTGGTTGGATGAAACTGTGCAAAACGCATGATCTCACCTACTGCCCTGGTGTGCGCCACTGTTTATTTGCGTTGCGTTCATACAAAAAAGCGTACGTCAGATTTCGGGCTTATGTGAGTTGTACATTTAGTATGAATAGTCTGAAATTAGTTTTCAAAGCCCGCTGTTTTACAGCATGTGAATGCAAGCCCATATTCAGGTTAATTTCGTAATCTTAGGACGGAATAAGTGACAACTTGATGTCTTCGAATTTAACCGGAAGTATGATAAGAATTCAGTGCTTCAAAATTAGATTTCAGACATTTTTATATCCTCACCTAGGGCCTCACACTCGGACATAGACTAGCGTCATAATTTCCGAGCGTAGCAAGCTTTGAATTTGATTTTTCTATGCTTTCTTGTGATGAACAGGTCAAAAAAAAAAAATCAAGGTGGTGAGATAAGACTAATACGATGTGTTCTTTCTTATTCATCCTTACTATGGATCTGCCATAAATTATTACAAAAAACTAATAATCATGCTT